GAGAATGTAATAATACAAGGAAATATATGTGAAGTACAAATACTAAAAAGGCAGAGATAAAAATACAATTATTTGCATAATTATATGACTATTTGTCTAGAAAATTTAAAACAATCAACTGGCAAGCCATTAGAATGAAAAGTGGCCAATTCTAAAGTCAACATACAAACACAATAGCATTTATTAAAACAGCAATATATAATTATAATGTTTCATGAGCAAGTGTCCCATTCATGATAGCAGTAAAACCCAGAAGTAAATGAAGAAATAAGTGAATTTGACATAAAAGCAAACTTTACTAAGGTTTAAATAAGTCGAGGGACAGACCCACCCCAGAGCCAGATTCCAGATCACATCAACATCAGCTTCCAAAGTGTGCCCACATACTCAGTGCAATCCTGGTAAAAGACCCAGCAGGACTGGTTTGAAACAATAGGTTCTAAACTTCATCTGGAAGAGAAATGCTTTGAAAATGTTGTGGAGAAGGAATCTGCTATAAAGCCATCATAACTAATGCACTGTTATTGTGCAGAAATTGACAAACAGGTGCACCAGTCATGACTGGAAGACCAGAGACAGCACCGAGTATTTCAGGGAATTGAATTTATGATGAAAGTAGCAATTCGTGTCAGTGAAAAAGGATATCTTTTTCATTAGATGATGATGTGACAACTGGCTGTGCATTTGAAAAGAAAACCTTACACCCACCAACACACAGTGTCCTTGCTCACACTCTCCCTTCCACGTGGCTGCAGCTTCTCTCCCAGCCCGAGATGGGCAGGCAACTTCCCACTCACAGAGGGCAGGGTCCCCAGCCATGCCTGCTGTTGGGATCTCTGGGGTGTGGGGAGTTTGTGACTCAGCTACAGTGTTTTTGGCTGAGGAGACTCTGGATAAAGGACCCTCCACCCCTTTCTGGATTCTCATGGCCTGTGTCTAAAGGTAGCCCCTGCAGTTTTGGGAACTCCTCTGGAAGAATTTGCAATTCTGGGCCAGATGCAGAGCATGAACGCAAAGAGGGCAACAGTTGTGTGGAGTTGTTACCCACTTGGGGGTCTCCTTTCGAATCAGCAGAGGTCCCTGTTCTGCACTTCATTCCAAAGAGGGACACCCCAACCCCAACCCCCCCATCTGTTTGTGGTTCTGTTGATGCTATCATCTGAGCGGGTTGAGATAAGTCCTTGAAACTGGCTCTCCAAACATAAATAAGCAGCCTGTTTAATGAAACAAAGTACGCACTCTTTGACATTTGCCAGTGTTGATCTCAGATTCTCAGTCCATTCTCCTCCCCGCCCCCCCATCCCCACGACAAGCTTTCAGGCCTCCCTAAGGTTGCCCCTTCCCTCTCCTCTGCCCCAACCCTAGGGCCACCTCCACGTGGGCTGGAAGGCCTTTGTGAATGTGGCCGCAACCTGGGGACATGATTGGACCACGCTGAGCAGCAGGGACACTGGGCTCCTCTGGGACACAAAGGTCTGCTCCCCTCTCTAAAGAGGACCCCCCAGCCCTGCCTCTGCCTCACACACAGTCCTCCCTGCTGTGGAATCCCAGCTTCCAAAGGAATCTCCCTCTTCAGAGACTCCAGGGCTCAGAGTTTTTCCCATGTCTCTCCCGTTCCAGGACTTGGGGGTGCAGGTGCCCAGCACGGGAACTTCTGAGACCTGTGGGGATAGATGAGGCCCCAGGGCCAAACGAGATCAAAGCACCTGCTTTAACAGGTGTGGCCCCACAACTCACACAGGGCATCGGCCTGGACCCCAAGCAAATGGGGTTCCTTCTCCATTCTCAGGCGAGGGTCCTGCTCCTCTCTGGGGGAGCTGGGCCAGGATAGAGAGAAGTAGCTCTGGGTGTCCCCAGGACAGGAAAGACGGGTCCCAGGTCTGAGACCCCAGCTCCCCCGTCTCGTCTGGAGGCTCCTCCTGCAGCCCCGTTTCGCCTTCCGCAGCCGTGCCGCCCTCCGGAGCCCAGCCTTGGGAAGGGCTCTCCTGCCCTCTTGTGGCCAAGTGGCTGCGGGTGGACGCTGCTCGAGTCCCCTGAGCACGTTTCCTCCAAACTGCACACCCAGCAAACCTCCACCACCAGAGGCTGCCGTGCAGAAGGAGGCTATTTCCAGTTATTTGTATAAGGATTTTTTTTTTTCTCTTAATGAAAGACGCGTAAAACCTCTCCTAGTCACTCCTGGCAAGGACCATACTCCCGGGGTCTATTGGCAGAGGGGGGAGGGGAGGGAGGCACCCCTCCCTCGGGTGACGAACTGGGGGGGTGCCCGGCGTGGAGAGCCCCGGGCCTTTTTCTCCGGGACGTGTTCCCGGAAGAAACTGGTGGAAGGGCCGCAGGAGGCACCGCAACCTCCAGGGAAAGAGTCGCTATGCGGGGCCCGGGCTCTGGAGCACGGCCGGGCACCTGCCAGCAAGGCCCGA